AGAAGCTAGCGGGCGAGCTAAGTCTCGCTCGCTTCTTGCACTTACTATAAGCAGGTTTGAGCCTGTGGAACGCTGCGACGACATGGCGCAGGCAGCGCTCAGTGTTTAGCGTGTACCTGAAAACGCGGCGCTTTTCTGTCTCCTCCCGCCACCTTCATTGTCGTCCTATTCCCCGCTTCGCCTGCTCCATGCATGCTGCTGCTGCCGCGATGGCCTTTCGCCCCCCCATTCCATCCTCCTCCTGCCCCTCGTTCCCGTCCCCGTTCTTCTTCGAGCCTGGGGCCTGGATCCTCGTTCTTTCGATCGTCGTCCTGTGAGTCGTGCAACGCATGCGCGTCCCATGTAGATTGCGCAACAAATCACCGTGTCTACATTGTCGTTGTTCCTGCCAATGTTGGCCTACTCCTCTTGCCACTTGATGCACATGGGTTGGGTACGTCGCAGGGTAATTTGTTATTGCGGCTTTGAAGAAGCACGTAGCCTGTGAGCAAATGATGGCACGCAGCTTGCAGAGACAATTCAGCACAGTCAGCAGCTGTGCTAGACGTCGATATTCGAAAGTTCTGCACGGGCACCGAAAGTTAAAGGTCAGTGCGCAGTAAAGCTTTCAGCCGTGGTCGGGTCAGCGGCAGCGGCACAGAAGCGCGTGGCGGTCCCGGACCGATGCTGGCGACGCGGCCCTGATCGCCAAACCAGTACCAGCAAGGCTTTACGCAACAAGGGTTAGAGAAGCACGGTCGACATGCGTGCACGGAGAGCCAGTCAAAGTGTCGGAGTTAAACGAGTAGCTCTGCTCTCCTCTGCCTGTGCGCCTCTGGTCCTCATCCTGACGGACGAGCGGAGGCAGGATGCACACATCGCGTTCTGACCTGAACAGCAAAACCTGGCGACGTGTGACTCCTAAAGCCCCCGAGGGTACCCGCCGTGCGCGCAGCGGGTTGGCAGCGGCCGCGCGCGGGGGTGCTCGCTGCTACTCCGCCGCGCCGCTCGCCGCCCCCATCCCGCACCGAGGGATGGAGGGAGGAGGAGGAGGGGGATGATGATGATGATGATGATGATGATGATGATGATGATGATGATGGTGATGATGATGATGATGATGATGATGATGATGATGAGAGATGAGGAGGAGGCGGAGGAGGAGAGGAGGAAGGAGGAAGGAGGAGGGGGAGGAAAGAGGAGGAGGAGGAGGAGGAGGAGGACGAAGGGACGAGGACGAGGAGGCCGATGAAGGAGGAGGAGGAGGGAGGAGGAGAGAGGGGAGGAGGAGGAGGAGGGAGGGAGAGGAGGAGGGATGAATGATGAGATGATGGATGAGGAGGAGGAGGAGGAGGAGGAGGAGGAGGAGAGGAGGAGGAGGAGGAGGAGGAGGAGGAGGAGGAGGAGGAGGAAGGAGGAGGAGAGGAGGAGGAGGAGGAGGAGGGAGGGAGGGGAGGCGGAGGAGGAAGGAGGAGGAGGAGGAGGAGGAGCGAGGAGGAGCGAGGAGGAGGAGGAGGTGGAGGAGGAGGAGGAGGAGGAGGAGGAGGAGGAGCGATAGGAGGAGGAGGAGAAGAGGAGGAGGAGGAGGAGGAGGAGGAGGAGGAGGGAGGAGGAGGGAGGGAGGAGGAGGAGGAGGAGGAGGAGGAGGAGGAGGAGGAGGAGGAGGAGGAGGAGGAGGAGGAGGAGGATGGAGGAGGAGGTGGGAGGAGGAAGGGAGGAGGAGGAGGAGGAGGAGGAGGAGGAGGAGGAGGAGGAGGAGGAGGAGGAGGAGAGAGGAGGAGGAGGAGGAGGAGGAGGTGGAAGGAGAGGAGGAGGAGGAGGAGGAGGAGGAGGAGGAGAGGACGAGGAGGAGGAGGAGGAGGAGGAGGAGGAGGAGGAGGAGGACGGAGGAGAGGAGGAGGAGGAGGAGGAGGAGGAGGAGGAGGATGAGGATGAGGAACCCCGAGGGGGCCCCTCCCGTAGGGGAGGGGTCGGGACCCTAGGGTCCCCCTGGCGCAGGCGGGGAGCGCCGGGCCCGAGGGGCGAAAAGCCCCCGCACCCCGGGGGACGCCGCCAAAGCGCGGTTTCCTTCCCCCGGGGGGGTCGCCTGGCCCCGTGTGCTTCCCCAGGGCGGTGCTGGGTTCCCCCCCAGCACTTGCCGCCCTGGGGCGGGGTCGGCGGCCCGTCCCTGTCGTGTCGCTCGTTCGTGTCGTGTCGTTCGTGTCGCGTCGTTCGCTTCGTCCCCCTGTCGTGTCGTGTCGTGTCGTGTCGGGGTCCCGGGGTCTGAAAAACGCGGCCACCCATGGAGTGGGTGGTGGGTAGGGTTGGCGCGGAGCACGTGCTCCTGCGCCCCCTACCCCGACCAGGGAGCGCGGAGCACGGTCTCCTGCGCTCCCTGGTCGCGCTTAGGTCGCGCCACGGGGGCACGGCCCCGACCGTGGCGCGGCCGTGGCCATGCTCTGTGTGTGTCTCGGCTCAGTGCATGGCAGTCCAGTCTCGGAGGCATGGCGGTGCGAGGTCAAAAAAGAGGAGGAGGAGGAGGAGAAGGAGGATAAGGAGGGAGGGAGGAGGGATTGGAGGGAGGGGGGAGGGAGGGAGGGAGGGAGGGAGGGAGGAGAGGAGGAGGAGGAGAGGAGGAGGAGGAGCGAGGAGAGGAGGAGGGCGGGAGAGGAGGAGGAGGAGGAGGAGGGGAGGAGGAGGAGGAGGAGGAGGAGGAGGAGGGAGGAGGAGGTGGAGGATGAGGAGGAGGAGGAGGTAGCCCAAGGGAGGGAGGTCGAGGAGGGGGATGAAGAAGCGGAGCAAAGGAGGACACATCTTTCCCAGGCTTTGTCCTCCAAGTTGTCCTGGCGTGGCTTGCGTTTCTCCTGCTGCCGTGCTCGAAGCAGAAGGGCCGCAGCGACCTGCAGGGTGTCATCGAGGTCGACACCGCCAAGCTCGAGGGCAGTCATGGCGGCCACCTCCGCTACCTCCTGCTGTTCGACCTTGCGGCGTTCGTGCTGTGTGCGGCCCTCGTGGGATACACCGTCGCGATGGCCCCTGGGGGTGACGCGGAGCACTGGACCATCGAGCACGTCGTCTTCGGCGCGCAGGTTCGACGAAGAAGCGACGGCACAAGCATCAACCTTCCGAGGTCCGCGTGGACCTCCTGGATCGGCGCTGGACCCCGCTCCCTGGCGCGCGGGGCGCGCCGGGGGCGGCGCGGGAGGCGCCGCACGGGGCCCGTGGCCGACCCAGGGAGTCTCCGCGCGGAGCTCCGGATGTCTCTGCGTTGGTGCCGCTTCTCCTCCTCCGCAGGTGCTGTACGGCTTCTTGTCCTTCCCGTTCTTCTTCTTCACGCTTCCGCTGCTCACGCGGGCGCTGACCCACGCCCTGCCCACGGGCTACGACGGCGCCCTGGGGCCAGCCAGAGCCGCGGGGACGTGCCGGGATTCACCCCCCCCCCCCTGCCCTGCTGGTTGGGAGGGGAGAGGGGGGGGGGAGAGGAGGAATAGGGAGGAGGTGAAAAGGGGGCTCCTCTTCCTCCCCTTCAGATTCCCCCCTTTGCCCTCCTCCTCCTCCTCCTCCTCCTCCCTTCTCCCTCTCCCCCCTCCCCCTCCTCGAGGAGGCGAGGCGGAGTCCGAACCTCACTGTCCTTGGGGTTGCGGCCGCCCTGAGGTAAGGGCCGGACCCGGCGCCTTGCGGTGGTCAGGCGCAAGAGGAAGCCGAATAAGCAGGCGGAGACCGTGAGCCAGAGCAAGGCTGGAAGGGCAAGCCGTATCCAGTGCCTCCTCCTCTTTCATCTCCTCCTCCTCCTCCTTCAACTCTCCCTGCTGTGTGTGTGTGTGTGTGTGTGTGTGTGTGTGTGTGTGCGCCGCCTCTCTCTCTCTCTCCCTCTGTCTGTTTCTTTCTCCCTCTGTCTCTCTCTCTCTCTCTCTTTCCCTCTCTCTCTGATTTGTTTGTTTCTCTCTCTCTTTCTCTCTTTGTTCTCTCTCTCTCTCTCTCTCTTTCTCTTCTTATCATCTCTCTCTCTCTCTCTCTCTTATTAACACATGCGCACAGGGTAGGGTCTGACATCTCAAGGTGTGGAAGAGACCCAGCTCTATGTCTGGAAGAGACCCAGATCTATGCCTGATAGCCCTCTGTGGGTCACAGGGGGCTCAGCGGGGCTCGCAGCCTCCGGTTCCCCTGGGCATATGCCCCTCCTCGGGGAGGAGGGAGTCTTCCTCCTCCTCCTCCTCCTCCTCCTCCTCCTCCTCCTCCTCCTCCTCCTCTTCCTCGGGGAGGAGGGAGGGGCCCGCGTGAGCGTGAATATGATTTCTTGCTTTCCCAGCCTCCAAAGGTGGACGAGCTCGTATCGGAGATCAAGGCGCTGCTGCCCTTCGGATCCAGCGCGGGCGCGAAGCAGTAGGGTGGTGACCAGTCGCGCCAGCGCGACCGCACTGCTGTGGGCCGTGGACAGGGAGTGTGAGAAGGAGGAGGAGGAGAAGGAGGAGGAGGAGGAGGAGGAGGAGGAGGAGGAGGAGGAGTAGGAGCAGGAGCAGGAGCAGGAGAAGGAGGAGGAGGAGGAGGACGAGGAGGAGGAACTCACCCCCTCCTTTTCTGCATCCTCTACCCTGCGTGTCCCTCGTTCATTCCTCCTGTTCGGCCTCCTGCTCCCTTCTCCTTCCTATCCCTCCGCAGAAAGAGAAAAAGGGGGGATCCTTTGCTGTTTCATTTTCCTGCTTGGTGCCAGGTCCCACCGTCCCGCAAACTGCGGGGGTGCCAGTACAGTCCTGTTGCCGCCTTGTTGACAACCTGCGACCGCGTGTGCCTCCGTCACAACCATCATCATCACGTTCGCCACCACCACCTTCACCGCCATCACCATCACCAGAGCCATGGCCACCAGTCGGACCGCAGCCTTCTCGAGTGCCCGTTTTTTTTTTTTTTTTTTTTTTTTTTTTTTTTTTTTTTTTTTTTTTTTTTTTTTTTTTTTTTTTTTACTATCTCTCTCTCTCTCTTATCAACCAGCTGTGCTCTGCCGTTCGTACCCCCTGGGTCGACGTGGCTTTGTGAAGTCCACTCTCTTACCATGGCGCAGGCGTTTACGTACCACGCATCCGAGAATCAGCTCCGAGGGTGTCGTCGCGCGCCGGCGCTCCTCCCCCTTGCACGCCGGCCAGTTACGGCAGAGGCATTGCACGAGGAACGTCTTCCTGGGGCGCCAAACCCTGGCGCATCCCTTATCGTCTCGAGGCCAGGTGGGTGGTCGACGTCGGGCCGCCCATGGGTCGCGAGACCCCGGGCAGATTATCGAAGGTATCCGTATCCTCCTCCCCCCTCCTCCTGCTCCTCCTCCTCCCTCCTCCTCCCCTGCCTCCTCCTCCTCCTCCTCCTCCTCCTCTTCTTCCTCCTCCTCCTCCTCCTCCTCCTCCCTCCTCCTCCTCCTCCTCCTCCTCCTCCTCCTCCTCCTCTTCCTCCTCCTCCTCCTCCTCATCCGATTTCGACCCCGTGCCGATACAGCCCCGTCCTACGCTTAAGTCGGGCCTGTCCCTCTACAGGGGGAATATTCAAAAATTGGAAAACAATAGTCAGGGGACGATTTTTTGATAATTTTTGAGCATTTTTGGTGTATTTTTTGGGTATCCTGGTGGCCTCCGGCCAGTGCCGCCAATCCGGGGCGCTCCGGATGATGATGATGATGATGATGATGATGATGATGATGATGATGATGATGATGATGATGATGATGATGATGATGATGATGATGATGATGATGATGATGATGATGATGGATGAGGCTGATGATGTGATGATGGATGATGATGATGATGATGATGATGAGGCTGAGATGCGGATCGATGAGCTGCTGATGATGATGAGGGATGATGATGCGATGATGATTGATGCTGATGCTGCCTGCTGATGCTGATGATGATTGCTGATGATGATGAGGATGATGATGATTGATGATGATGATGATGATGATGACTGCTGATGATGCTGATGATGCTGATGATGATGATGCTGGTGATAGTGATGATGATTATGATGAGAGGGATGATGATTGATGATGATGATGATGATGGATGATGATGACGATGATGCCGATGCTGATGGATGATGATGATGATGATGATGGTGATGATGATGATGATGGTGATGGTGGGGTGATGGTGATGTGATGATGAGAGATGGTGATGAGGATGATGAGGATGATGATGAAGATAAGGAGAGGGATGAGAATGATGATGATGATGTGAGGATGATGATGATGATGATGATGATGATGATGATGATGAGGATGAGGATGAGGATGAGGATGATGATGATGAGATGATGTGATCATATTGATGATGATGATGGATGATGATGATGATGATGTGATGATGATGATGATGATGATGGATGATGATGATGATGATGGTGCATGATGATGATGATGATGATGATGATGATGATGATGATTGAGATGATGATGATGATGATGATGATTGATGATGATGATGAGAGATTAAGATGAGGAGGAGGAGGAGGAGGAGGGAGGAGGAGGAGGAGGTCAGGAGGAGGAGAGGAGGAGACGAGGAGGAGGAGGAGGAGGAGGAGGAGGAGGAGGAGGAGGAGGAGGAGGATAGGGACGGGTGCGAGGGGGGAAGAGGAGGGAGACGATGGGGTGAGGGAGGATGCGAGGAGTGACGGGGGGACCGGGAGGGACGGAGGAAGGGAGGGAGGGTGGGAGGAGAGGGGAGGGATGGAGGAGGAGGGGAAAGAGGGAGGGAGGAGGAGGAGGAGGAGGAGGAGGAGGAGGAGAAGGAGGAGGAGGAGGAGGAGGAGGAGGAGGGGGAGGAGGAGGGAACAGGGAGGAGGGAGAAGGGAGGAGGGAGGGGAGGGGTTGGACACACACCCTTGCTCGAAAGCTGGGCGAGGGCTGCCAACACCGTGGCTGCTAAAGCGGCCCTCCCGGAAGGAGAAAACAACTTCCCGGCAGGAGGCGCGGCACGCGAAGCAGTCCATGGGCTGCTTCCCGGAAGGACGAAGGCAACTTCCAGGAGGTCGATTTGAGCAGCCACGGATTTAGCAGCCCTTGCCCGGCTTCCGAACTGATATTGGGTTGATTCTTATGAAGACTAGTGCCAGTAATAGTCATGAGAGCAGCAATCAGAGTAGTAATAATATTCTACAGGCTTACGCCACATCCGCCGACCCCTTCTGTGAGTGTTGCGAGGCCAGGAGTTTCTGGCCAGCGGCGTCTTGTGTGAGGGTGCGGTGTCGCGCGCGGGTGGTGGCAGATACGTAGGGGGTCCAAATGTTTTGCGTGATGCCGGTGGTCTGGGGCGTGTTTTGCGAGCGCCTTGGGTGCTGTGCACCCGGGTGCGGGGTGTCCTTCTGGGAGGTCGGCCTTTCGACCCGCAACCAAGTGGAGGACCACCGGAAGACGAAAGGAGCAAGAGTAGTGTGCGGAAGTTGTGGTCAGCGAGGCATTACCGCGAAAGATGTGGCAGATGGGTGAAGAGGCTGTTGATGTTCGCAGCGCGCACGAAACAGTTCGCGCGGCAGCAGCACATTAGCGCCGAGCAAGATAGTGAGCACGTCGCGAGGAAGAGTAAGGCTGTACGCGCGGAGTGCATTGCAGTTGGCTTGACGGCTCGCAGAAAGGAAGCGTCTGGGAGTTTTTGGGGAGCCTCCTGGGGGCCTCTTGGGGGCTCCTTGGGGCGTCTTGGCGGCCTGTTGGGGGCCTCTGGCGGCCTCTTGGGGCACTCTTGGGGCCCCCTGGGGCTCGTGGGGGCGGAAAGCTAGATTTTTGAATTTTTGGTTGCCCTCTTGGGCCCCTCTTGGTGCCGTCTTGGAGCCTTCTTGGGCCGTCTTGGGGACCTCTTGGGCCGTCTTGGGGCCATCTTGGGCCGTCGTGGGGCCGTCTTGTGGGCCTCTTGGGCCGTCTTGGGGCGGTCTTCGGGGCTTCTTGGGCCGTCTTGGAGCGACGGAAAGCCCATGAGGCGAATTTGTGAAACATATACGTTTTACGAATGAAATGAGCAAATGTTTGCGTCTAGGGATCCTCTTGGGACGCATCTTCGAGGCCTCTTGGGGGCGTCTTGGGCCATCTGGAGGCCATCTCGGGTGTCTTCGATCGCTCTTGGACCGTGTGGGACCATGTTGAGCTCTCTTGGAAGCCACTTGGAGCGCTCCTGGAGCGCTCTTGGGGCCGTCTTCGGGGCTCTCTTGGGCCGTCTTCGGCGCCTCTGGAGCCGTTTTGGCGCCCTTTTGGGCTGTCTTGGGGCCCCCTTGGAGGCTTCTTGGGCCGTCTTGGGGCGGTCTTGGGGGCCTCTTGGGCCGTCTGGGAGCGTCGGAAAGCCCAAAAGGCGAACTTGTGAAACATGTACGTTTTACGATGGGAAGCGGGCCAAGTTTTGCGTCTAGAGGCCCTCTTGGGGCGCATCTTGGATGCCTCTTGGGGGCATCTTGGGCCGCCTGGAGGCCGTCTTCGGTGTCTTTGATCGCTCTTGGACCGTCTGGGACCATATAGCTCTCTTGGAGGCACTTGGAGCGCTCCTGGAGCGCCCTTGGGGCCGTCTTCGGGGCCCTCTTGGGCCGTCTTGGACGCCTGCTGGGCCGTCTTGGCGCCTTCTTGGGCTGTTTTGGGACCCTCTTGGAGGCTTCTTGGGCCGTCTTGGGGCGGTCGTGGGGGCCCCTTGGGTCGTCTGGGAGCATCGGAAAGCCCAGAAGGCGAATTTGTGAAAATTGTACGTTTTACGAAGGGAGTGGGCCAATTTTTGCGTGTAGGGACCCTCTTGGGGCGCATCTTGGAGGCCTCTTGGGGCCTCGTGGGGGCCTCTTGGGCCGTCTAGGAGGCCTCTTAGCCCTTCTTTGGGCCATCTGGGGCGTCTTGGAGCGCTCGTTTGGCGTCTCGGGGCCCTCGGGGGCCGTGTTGGAGGCCTTTTGGGGCCTTCTTGGACCGTCGCGTGGGCCCGTTTGTGCGCTTTTGGCTTGTTTTGGGGCCTTTTGCTCCCCCATGGCGCGTTCGGTGGTGGGTGCCCCGGGGCCGGGGGGGGGGTCAAATCCCCGGTTTCGGGTCCCTGGGGGGGGTTGTGGGGGGGGAACTCTCTCACACGCCTCGAGACCCACAAGGGGTCGGCGGATTACAGAGTAGTGCTAATTTGACCAACAGTGCGACGAGTGGTCGTCACAAGAGTGGTCGGGAGGCGGAGACGGGGGGGAGAGCGGCCGGGCGGAAGGAAGGGAGGGAGAGCGGCCGGGCGGAAGACGCGGAAGGGAGGGTGGGGAGCGGCAGGGCAGCAGTGCTGATATATTTCCAATTCTCTTGCACAGGAGGAGGAGGAGGAGGAGGAGGAGGAGGAGGAGGAGGAGGAGGAGGGAGGGAGGAGGAGGAGGAGGAGGAGGAGGAGGAGGGCTCGGGCCTCACTATTTTTCGTCGTCGTCGCTCGTTCGTTCGTCGTTCGTCTTCCCCCCCCTGGCCACAGAAGGGAGCTCCTGGAGGGCGGGGAGCGGCAAGGCAGTACAGCCAAGACGCCGAGATAAGGAAGAGTTTGGATTCGGCAGGGGCTCGATGTTCCTTACGTCATTCGGCGGTTGCTCCTCTAGCCCTTCTTGTGCATCCAGGCGTTTTTGAAACCGCAGAGGGAGTTGGTTCCTTACTTAGCGTTCCTTATCTCACCAGCCCGACTGTAGTGCTGATCTTTCAATTCCCATGAAGACTAGTGCAAGTAATGATCATGAGAGCAATAACCAGAGTAGTAGCACTATTGATAATGATACGATGAGCCGTAACAGTAGTGGTAAGACAAATAATGGGAAGGCGAAGGCGAGGAATCGTAATGGTGAGAATAGCAACCATGCAAACGAACCACAAATAAGGCAAACGAGCCACAAAGAAACCATGTACTTCTGGATATCCAGATCCTAATTGACTTCAAGTGCCTTCCTGCTTCAGGAGTCGGCATGCTTTTGCTGTTGTTTGTTGTTCTCTGGGTGGGCCCGAACCCAATCTTCTTTATCCGCTTTCCTACTTCATGTATCTACCTGCTTCTTCCGAGTGACGGGTAACCCCGACACGCACGCATTCTCATATATACCAGCCGCTGCAAGCGTGTCGCCTTGCAAGTGGAGCTCGGCAGGATGGCCTCGGGATTAGCTGCGGGCTTCGTCGCCCTTTGGGGTGGTTTTTCTTCCTACAAGCGTCGTCAAGCATGGTCAGAAACACCGTTGGATGTCGAGGGGATCGGCGCCTTCGGGTGCTTGTCAGAAAATCTGTTAGTCACTGCTGAGAGGTGGATGTCGGATTTCGGGCATCTACGCGTGCAAGTGAAGTATCTGGTGACAGCATTGGAGTAGCGTTTTCCTCACAAGTACCTTTGTTGTAATCCCTCTGTTTATGTTTGAGGGGTCTTGTAGGGTTTCTCTGCGTTAGTTTCTTCGTCTCCCATCCCCTGCCCATCAGAGTGTGTCTTTATTTCCGTGTGTATCAGTTGCCGATTTCGGCCGACTCGATGGGACATGGTTGTCGGTTGGCCTACCCAACATAGCTTGCATTAAATGCGGAGGGTGAGCGTCGATTCCCTCACCTTGGCTTTTGCTCAACCAGACTTCCTGTAACCATAGATGAGGGCATGTTTCCTTCTGGGAGTTAGTCAGGGGAACAAAAAGTGGCATACACATAAAAACTCGGACCTCCGAGTGTTTATGTTTATGCCACTTTTTGTTCCCCTATTAGTGCGCGAGGTTTCTAGCTGGGCTTCCAGGTCTAGGGAGCACAGTGGTCGTCATGACCAACATCTGCGAGCGCTCGCGAGTGCAGCGGCTTTGGACCCCCCTCGAAGGTCGGAGACCGTTTGGTGGGCCACTCTCGTTCCGCTGGGCTGCAGCCTTTTGGAGTCCTTGGCCGGTGTGGGGGTAAGTGTGCTTTGCAGGGGATCGCTGGCCTCTCGTTGGGCCATGGAGGAGGAGGAGGAGGAGGAGGAGGAGGAGGAGGAGGAGGAGGAGGAGGAGGGGGAGGAGGAGGAGGAGGAGGAGGAGGAGGAGGAGGAGGAGGAGGAGGAGGAGGAGGAGGAGGAGCCCGGCCTCTCGGGGCCCTCGCCCGGCCTCGGGACCGTCAAAAAACACGACTCGGGAGGAAGAGCCGGTCCCAGGGAGATCTCCGCAGGCGTCGGCTTCGGACAGCCTCAGCTCACGGTGGGGGGCTCATCTCGGCGGCGAGCCTGAGGGAAGTGACGGGAGGAAGGCCTTCTCAGAAGGCGGCAGGGCTCTTCAGAAGCCCCGCCGCGTTTTGGCCAGGCCTGCCCCCTCTCACTCGCCGATCATCATTGCTCGCGTCATCATCGTGCTCGTCGTGCTCTTCGCGCTCCACCTCTTCCGCCCACCTCGCTGCGGTCCTTTTCGCACTGGCTGCCATGGCCCTCTGCACGCTTTCAAATATTATTCCTCCTGTTTTCTACTGTTTTCCCCCTCCTGCTGGTTCGGTCGCAGTTCGTCTCTAGTCCTTGAGTGGGGGCAGATTTGTTTCTTGGGGCGCACAGCTGCTCTTCTCGTTCCTGCGCCGTCTTGAAGTCCTCGAGTCGGCATCCTCGAGCTGGGCATGGTTGGAAGTATGCGCAAGCTGCCGCAAGCAGAAACAGGCGATGTCATGCTTGGGGCAGCCGTGCCTTCTCTCTTGGCCACTCCGGGCCTCCCCCGTCCGTCCGCCCCCTCCCAGGAGCTTCGAGGAGCTGCGGGAAGGCCAGCTTCTGGATGGCAAGGTGGCCGTGTTTGGGGAGACGGGCGTGCTGCTTGACATTGGTTTCGACGTGCTTGCCAGACTGCAGTGCTCGTACGAGCAGCGGAAGAGGATCTGGCGCACCGATGTCCTGAGGGGCCTCAGGGTGGAGCTGGTGGAGTGGGAGAGTCGGCGGGTACATGTCTCTTTCGATGGCCTGCTCGATCTGGTTGAGGGTCGACTCGTCATCGAGCAGCTGAGGAGGGGGCAGATCTTGAGCGGCACAGTGGTCTCCACTGCACTCGTGGACGTGAACGCCGAGCGCAAGGCCCTCATCCTCGGGCCGAGGGACCAGGTTCCGCGGCGGGGACTTATCCATGCCCACCGCCTGGGGGTTCGATCTTCGCGGGCCTCCACAGGCGGTGGATATGGATATGGATATGGACATGGATACGGACATGGATTTGGACATGGATATTTATATAGAAATGGACATGCATTTTTTTATATACAAAAAAAGAAAAAAGAAAAACAAAACAGATGATGTATTTGTTTATATATATATACACATACATACACGACTGCAGTGGCGCTTCGCGCCATGCACCTTTGTCCTTCAAGTTTGGCATGCAGGCAGAATAGCAGGAAGGTCAAGCCGACAATCTAGCGATAACTCCTTGTTGCCTTTTCTGGCATCGCCGCTATAAGCATGTTATTCGTTATCCTTCCTTCATGCTTCTCTTTCTTCATTTTCGCCATACCCTGCGCATTCTCCCCATCCTCCTCGGCTCTTTTTGCGGAGGCTCCTCCTTGGAGAGCATCTGGGGGCCTTGCAAAAGTTATGTCAAGCTTTCTCAAGGCCTTCTGGAGGCCTCTTGGGCGTGTTCTGGGGGCCTCTCGGAGCTTTCTCGGGTCGCCCTGCCTCCAACCGCGGTCTCCCTCAACGACCGGGTCACGATTTGGAATGCTTCGGGAGGTGTTTTGGGGCCATCTTGGGCCGCCATGAGGCTCTCTGAGGGCCATCTTGGACCCCGGTTGCCGTTTTGGGGCTCTCTTGTTCTGCCTGGAAGCCTTTTGGAACGGTTATGGGGCGATTTTAGAGCCTCCCAGGCGGCTTCGGACGCCCAGAAGACAGCCGTCTTGGAGCGTCGGGAAGCCCAAAAGAGGAGAACCCCCAAATTCACCAAAAACCAATCGAAAATCATTATGTGATTTTTGCCTCTTGGGGCCTTCTTGGGAGTGCTCTTGGAGGCCTCTTGGGACGTTTCGGGACGATCTTTGGGGATATGATGGCTTCTTGGGGGTCGTCTTGAGGTCACGTCGGTTACTCTTAGAGCGCTCTTGTGCTGTCTTCGGGGTCTCTGGGACGTCTCCGATGACCCCCCGATCGCTCTAGGTGTGCTGGGAAGGCCTGGCAAAACGCCCTGCGAGGCCCGGGGGGCCGCTTCGAGGCCTGTCAGGAGGGCCCCAAAGCCCCAGATCCCGGGAGCCCGTTTTTTTCTGTGGGGGGGGCGGGTTTTCCCCCCGCCCGGGCTTTAAAGTATAGGAAGAGGAATCTGTTCGGCCCCCCAGGGGCCGAAATATTTCCATATCCCCCGCCCGCTGGGGCACCAGGACGTCGGTTCCCAGGCGGTGGATGTGGATAAATCCCTGCCTCGCACAGGTGTTCAAGCTCCGGCGCAACGAGATCCTGGAGGGCCTCAGGGTCGCGAGGGTCCGCAAGGGGAAGCTCGACGTGCGGCTCCCGGGCCTCGAGGAGCGGGTCGCCGGCAGGGGGCTGCTGGTGAAGGACCCCAGTGGCGCAGAGGCTGGCACCACCAAAACGGCGACGACATCACAAAGAAGTCTTGGAGGAGGAGGAGGAGGAGGAGGAGGAGGAGGAGGAGGAGGAGGAGGAGGAGGAGGAGGAGGAGGAGGAAGGATGAGGAGGAAGGAGGGAGGAGGAGGAGGAGGAGGAGGAGGAGGAGGAGGGAGGAGGAGGAGGAGGAGGCCATTTTGGGCCATTTTTATGTTCGGCCCCCTGGCGCCCTGCCGGCAGGCTAAACCAAGTGCCGTCAGCGCGGCTGTCAGTCCGCGCCACAGTCGCCGAAGGGCGACTCCCTGCCCGCCGCCACGCGCGCCCGCGCCCAGCGAGCCGCGGCGGCGGGCGAGGCGAAGCCGTGGAGCTCCGCCGCCTGCCAGGCGTCCGCCACGACAGGCCTCAGCCCCCAGCGCGGCGGCCGCCCTGCACCAGCGGGAGCGCCTGCGCCATCCTCGCCGCCTGCGCCGTCGCGGAGCACCGCCGCGAGCCTCGCCTGCTCCTCCTGCGTGGGCGGCTGCGGAGCCGAGAGCCTGGCCTTGCTCTTGGGCTCCTGGAGGCGCATCAGGAGCCGCCGCGCCTCCGCCGCCCTCTCACCAGGGCCTGGCCGTCCCTTGCAGCTGCCCAGCAAGCCTGTCCCAGCAGGAGGGGACCGCTTCCAGAATCGGCACTCGCACTTCATGCACCAGGCCACGGCCCCATCCCGTTCTCGAGGCGCGAGACGACGATGCAGTGCCCGCGCACCTCCCGAGCCACTCCAGCTCCTGCAATCGCGGCCTTCAGCTCGGGAGCGGCCACAGCCGCCTCCGCCAGCTCGGCGGCCGCGGCCCCAGCGGCAGCGGCGGGCGCCTGGCCGTGCGCCTCTCCCGCAGCAGCCCCAGCAGCAGCGCCAGGCGCCTGGCCGAGCTCGAGGTCGGCCTCGAGCGCCAGCGCCGCCACCTCCGCGTCGGCCTGCTCCGCCGCGTCCAGCGCCTCCTGCGGGATGTCGTAGACGAGGTCGGCCGTGCCCACGACCCCGTCCGAGTCCAGCTGCTCGCGGTCCACCATGGTGGCGGCCAGCTCGCCAACCCAGCGCCCGAGCTCCTCCACGCGCCAGGCGCACGCCTGGAGGAACCAGACCAGCTCCTCGTCGATCGGCCACAGAGCTGCGCCTCGCTTGGCCCACAGGTCAGCTGCCCTGTTGCCTCTGATCAGGAGCTCGTCCTCCCAGGTGACAGCTGCAGAGAGCTCCTTGTGCGCCTTGACCTTCCACACCGTGGCCGTCGGGCCTGGCCCAGCCCACCACTCCTGCCAGGGGTGGCGGCGCGCCTGCAGTGGCGAGAGGGCCTTGCCCTGCGAGAGCGCCAAGCCAACAGTGCCCGCGCAGTCGCAGAAGACCTCGCGGCCCGAGCCGTCGGGCGACGGCAACCAGAACTGGGCCAGCATGTGGAACGCGTAGTCCTCGCCGTCCCTGGCCTCCTGCTTGGGCCCGTGCGCCCGCGGGACGATGATGTGCATCCCGCCGATGACCTCCCCGCTGAGGCCGATCTGCACCGCCGCCCAGCCTGCGCGGCGGGCCCCGCGCAGCGCAGGAAACCTGGCGCTGTCGTCCACGAAGACCCTGCCCGCGAACTTCGAGCCAGGCGGCGCGCCAAACCAGCGCGGGGCCGCGAGCGCGGCGTCGGCCGTCGCGGGGAAGGCCAGGGCTGGGTCGGGGCACAGCGCACGCGCGAAGAGCTCCGCCGCAGCGTCCCCGCGCTGGGCCACCAGCCGCGCCCCCTCCAGCAGCTCGTGCGAGCACGCATTCCGCCGCAGCATCTGCCAGGCCTCGCACTCGAAGGCCCTGTGCCACAGCGTGCCACGGCCTCCGCAGAGGCGGCGTAGGCCGTCGCGTGCCTTGCCCTCCTTCCAGAGGCGCTCCTGCGGCCAGTGGGGGCCGCCGAGGACCGCTGCGAGCGCTCGCCTGCGGCGGGCCTGCCAGTGCGGCAGCGGCGGCGCGGGCTCCTGGCAGCCTGCGCCCTCAGCGGCCTCGGCGTCGGCCTGCCCCTCGGGGCGGCGGCGCTCGTGGAGGAGGCGCTCCAGCCCCTTCCAGTGCACCGGCCATGCCCAGGCTCCAGGCCCGCGCATCCGCTTCAGCGCAAGCACGTCCGAGGCCAGCATCGCCGACTCGCGCGCCACCTGCGCCAGCATGCCAGGAGAGTAGAACTCCAGCGTGAGGACGCGCGCCTGCCAGTCTATGACGGCATTGTAGGCCACCATCTCGATGCCGACCCGCCTCAGCGCCAGCGCGCATGCCTGCGCAGGGCCGCGGCGCTGCCCCCAGGGGCGGCGAAGGTCGAGCAAGCTTTGCGCCCCAAGCCAGCACTCCTGCACCACCGCGGCGCTGGGCAGGCCCGTCTCCAGCGTCATGCCCCAGGGGCGCGCCACCTCCGCCGCATGCACCACGAAGGGGTCGCGGTAGGCCGCGCCGCGCATCGCCCATGGGCAGCCTGCCTTCCGCACGCATGGCGGCGATCCGCAGGCCATGCAGCTTCCCACAGGCGAGGCCCGTCACCGCGGAGCCTCAGACGGCGGTGGCCGTGGGGCTGCCTCTCTGGATGTGGCCCGCCTGCGCGCCTGCACTGCGCAGCAGGCGCGCCCGCGCGCTGACCTCCGCCGCGCGGCCAAGCCGAGCGTCCTGCTCGCGTGCGCGCCTCCAGCGCCCATCGGCGGCGTCGCCACCGAGGCGTCGGTCGCCAGTCCAGCGGGCCAGCGGCCCATGCGCCCAGCGGCCGTCCAGCTCGTCGCCGAGGTCCTCGCTGTTCGCCAGGTAGCCCGTCTTCGCCTGCGAGATGACCAGCCCCTTGGCGACCAGGCCCTCCGTGAGGGCCGCCATGGCCCTGGGGAGCTGCTGCACCACCTGCGCCCTGCCGCCGACCGCCTGCAGCAGCGCGTCGTCGACGACATTCTGCAGGCGCACCGCGGGGTTCTCGCGCACGATCTTCACGAAGAGGGTGTGCACCAGCAGCTTGGCCAGCCCGACCGCGCCACTGCAGCCCGCCACGATGGTGCCGTTCGCCTCGAACGGCTTGGAGACCGAGCCGCGCCAGGACGCGCGGCGCTGCGTGCGGTACGACACGCAGTAGCACTGCAGCAGCGCGAGCGGGAACTCCGTGGCGGCCGCCTGCACGCGCAGCTCCTCGTGGCTGACGTGCCCGTAGTGCTTCGCCAGGTCGGTGACGCCCGTGGCCGCCGAGAGGCCTCTGCTGCGCGCAAAGGCCGCCAGGAGGTTGTGCACCACCCCCGCGCGCTCGCACGGGCCCTCCGGCGTGCCCCAGAAGGCAGGGTTCTTCAGCGAGGCCTCCCAGCGGGCCACCAGCGGCTGCCGCATCCTGCTCCAGACCCTCAGCCAGATGGCCGTGAGGCCGATCGGCCGCTGGCCGCCAGTAGCCTTGGGGATGAACACCACGATCAGCTGCCACAGCGCCTCCCGCGAAGGCTTCCGCTCCCAGGCCATGAGGAGCTCCAGGAAGCGCTGCCTGTAGGTCCGCGGGAGGCGCAGCAGCTGCTTCGGGTGGAGCCTATCCCACCCAAGGCCGCACCCCTCGCGGTAGGTGCCCAGGGCCCGCTCGAGGTCAACGAGCTCCAGCGGCGGCAGCACCGACTCCTGGATGTCTCAGTTCTCAGGCGCCGCCTCGCCAGCACGCGACGGCTTGACCCAGAGCGGCTGCCACGCCTCCAGCAGCGCAGCCACTGCAGCCTCGCCCGCGACGGGCGTGCGCAGGTCGTCGCTGCCGTCCACGCCCGCGAGCACCTCCGTGGGCGCCACCGCGACCTGCTTGATGAAGCGGTAGGCCGCCGAGCCGCCCTTCTCGATGGCCGCGGCCTGGGCCCGGGCGCGCCACTCCGCGGCCTTCCGCTGCTTGTCCAGCCTCCAGCGCCGCTTCGCCTCCTCCTGGACGAACTGCACCGTCAGCTGGCACGAGGAGGAGCTGAGCAAGCTCATCACGCGGGCCGCCGACAGCCCTGCCAGCGCCAGCGGGCGCATGCCGCCGCGAACGACATCCAGCGCCTGCAGGCAGCGCCGACGCTCCTTGCAGTCCTGCTTCCAGGCTACCTCCATCACGACCCTCTGCGTGCGTAGCCCGCCCGCGCGCCCCTTCCAGCGGCTGGGCGGCGCGATCTCGTGGAGGTCGATCAGGTAGGCCTCGACCGCCTCGAACCACTCCTGGCAGCCCTCCTTGAGCGACTGCCCTCCCTCAGGCCTCCAGGCCGAGAAGGCGCGCTCGAGCGGCGCTGGCCGCGCTGGCGGCGGCAGCGGCATCGGGAAGGCGGCAGGGAAGAGTGGCCGCTGCACCTTCGCCTCTGGCCCTACGCCGCGGAGCACCATCTTGAACGGCACGTGGTCCTTCGTCGGCGCCCTCAGCAGCACCTCGGCCACGTCCACAAAGCCCGTGAGGACCCTGCTGACCACCGCGAAGTCAAAGACCTTCGAGCCGCAGGTCGGCTCCTCTGGGCCCACGAGCGCACCGCCTGCGCTGCGCGCCCACTCACGGACGTCCACGGGCTCCATGTTACAGTCGCCCATCACGACCCACGGCGACTCCAGCTGCCCCACGTGCTCGTGCAGCGCTGCCAGGAGCCCGATGTTCTCCTTCGCCCTGCCTAACTTCGTGATGAAGTAGGCCGAGATGACGCGGCACGGCTCCCGGAACCCCAGGTTCACCTCGCACACCTGGAACCGATGGGCACGGGGCCCTGGCGCGGCGGCGGCCGCCGACGGCCGCAGCGTGGCCACGGCCACTCCGCCCGAGCTCTCCAGCGGCCCTGAGCCCGTCGGCAGCGCTGCCTGGCCATGCCAGCTGAAGCCGCGCGCCTGCATCCAGCCCGCAGCGCGGGCCATCGCCTGCTTACCCTCGAGGCGATGCTCTTGGGGGCAGAGCACCGCAGGCAGCCGCCCCACGTCGTCGTGCAGCCACTCGACCAGCGCCTGCGCCGAGCCCCACGCGGTGGTGTTGGCCGATACCAGATCCACCACGTCCGCCGCCCGCGGGCGGCTAGCTGGCGCTTGGCCAGCGCTGCGCGCCAGGCTGCGCGCTGCTGCTCGTCCTCCATGCCCACCTCGTCGAACACGGCGTCGAGCCCGACGAGCTCGGGGCCGAGGTCGAGGTCGCCGACGCGCTTGCGGTCCCCAGGAGGACCATCAGCGCCATCATCACTGCCATCAGCCGCGGGGGCGGCCTCCTGCGCCTCGGCCACCCTCTCAGCCGCGGCTGCAGCCACGCGGGCCCGCTCGGCCGCCGCTGCCTCACGAGCACGGGCGTCGGCGGCGGCGAGCTTCTCCGCGAGGCTGCGGGCCTCGGCGGCCATCGCGAGCAGGGCGCCGCCCTCCTCCCCGAGCAAGAGGACCCGCTCCCGCTCCGCCTCGAGGCCCTCGAGGCCCTTGAGCAGCACCTTGCCCAGGCAGTCTTCGGCCTCCACAGGCTCGCCCACCTCCATGGGCGACGGCCCCTTGTGCTGCTCCAGGTCAGCGCGCTTCCTCGCGCGCACGGCCTCGGCCACCTCCTCCAGCTGGTCGCGCCGCTTCTGGAGGACGTCTGCCTGCTCCGCCACGCGGACCGCGACGGCCGCCTGCTCCTCCTGGACGGCCGCCAGCGCAGCCTCCGCACGGCTGACCTGGCCCTTGATCTTCGCCTCCCTGGCCAGGAGTGCCTGGAGCGACAGCTCGGCCAAGGGCTTCGCTGGCGGCGGCGCGTCCACCACAGGCACCAGGGCCCCGAAGTCCAGGACCAGGGCCGCCGACCAGCCTTCCCTGGGGCCAAAGTGGCGGAGGAGGGCCTGGCGAACCTCCTCGTCCTTGCCGCCGCTGCCGCTGGGCCGCTCCTCCGCCTCCCGCTTGGCCGCGCCCTGCGCCCGCGGCGCCGGCGTGGCCGCGGCGGCGGCAGGCCCAGGCGCGTCCGAGGCGAAGCGCACGCGCTTCGCCACGACCTTCTCCTTCCCCTTGGCCTTGGCCTTCGCCTTGGCCTTGTTGATGGCCTCGCCGATCGTGCCAGCGCCGCGTGGCGGCCTCGCCGCCTTGCAGAGCCTGCACTCCGTGCGCCATGCCATGTTGGCGTAGCTAGCGGCACGCGAGTGGCACGTCCAGGGGTCGCCACCCTGGCTGGCACCGCGCGTGCCACCTGCAACTCCATTCGCCATCGGCCCGCGGGGGCACGCCGCTCTGAAGATAGCACCCGCAAGAGCGAGCACCTGGCTCGCCCCAGAACAGCTAGGAGGAGGAGGAGGAGGAGGAGGAGGGGGAGGAGGAGGAGGAGGAGGAGGAGGAGGAGGAGGAGGAGGAGGAGGAACAAGTCGCGCGCAGCCACTGCCCGGCCGCCCCCCTCCTCACCTGCCCTTCGCCCCCTTCCATTCCGCGCCCTCCTCCCGCCCCTCCGCGCCATGGCATGGCAGCTCGTCCGGCCCCGCGGCCGACGAGGCCGCCAGGCCAACCCGGAGCTGGCGGCGGAACTCCTGCGCAGCCTCCTCTGCACTGGGGGCGCGCAGCGCGGCCACGGGCAACCGCCGCGGGCGCGCCGCCCGGAATGGCGCCGCACCTGCGGGGCTACCAACTTCGAGAACAGGCAGGCCTGCAGGCGGTGCTCCGCGGCGCGCGCTGGAGCGCCAGCGGCCTGCCCGCCGCCGCCGCCGGCGCAGAGAGGCGGCGGCGCCGCCGCTGCTTGGCCGGCCCTGCCAGGCGGCCGTGGCCCCCAGCCAGGGGCTCAGGCGGAAGCCTTCCGTCAGGCCGCCGCTGCGGCACGGCGGGCCGGGGCCCCGGCGGAAGCCTTGGAACCTCCCCTGGCGGAGGAGCGCGCCGCCCGACAGCGCCAGGTGGAACGCCGCGGCGACAACCGCTTTGGTGGCTTGAGGACAGCGGCGGCGAAGGCGGCGGCTGCAGCGCACGCCGCCGAGGAGGCGCTGGAGGCCGCGCAGCGCCGCCTCGAGGACGCCCGGGAGAAGGCGGCTACTGCTTTGGCCGCGCTCCACGCGGAAGAGGAGGCGCAGCGGGCGGAAGCGGCGCGGGCTGCTGCCCCGGGGGCCGGCGCGGAGCTCCCGGAGCTGGTCCAGGCCACGCGCGCGCTGCTGGACAGGCTGGAGACTGGGGCCCAGGCCTGGGAACGCGCGCCAGAGCCGCCGCCGGCGGCGATGGCTGCAGCGCGCGCTGCCCTGGCGGCCGCAGGGGGGCCGCCCCGCCCGCCCCACCTGGGCGCCGAGCTCGGCGACGACGCTCGGAGCGCGAGGAGGGACTGGGGCGACCTCTGCGACGAGGGGCCGGAGGACTCCGAGGAAGACGCCCTCCTCGAGGAACTGGACCGGGCGGAGGCGGTCGACGCAGCCCTCCTCCAGGCCGCCTGACGCTTGCAAGGCGTCCGCCGGGAGGCAGCCGCGGCCGCCGCGCCGGCGCGGGGCCTTGGGGCCCGCCGCCGCAGCCGCAGCCGGGCGGAGGCCCGCTGAGGCGGCTTTGCGGCTACGCCGGCGTGCGGGTCGGCGAGGCGAGCCACCCCGGGCCAGCGACAGGAGCGGCGCTGACCTGCCCGGGCTGCCAAGGGCCATTGCGCGCAGTGCGGACCTTGCGCCGCGAGGCTTGCCCTGCCTGCGGGGGCGGGGCGGGCCTGGAGGCTGGCTGCGCCGCTGCGAAGCTTGCGACGCGCTGCTCTGCCGAGACTGCGCCGAGACCGCTGCGGCGGCCGCCGCGGCGGCCGCCGCCGCGGCGCCGCTCGCCGCGGGCACGGCGCCTGCTGCCGCCGCCGCCGCCGCCGCGCAGACGCCGGCGCCGCCTGCTGGAGGTGCCGCGGCTGGCGCTGCCCTCGCGCCGCCTCCGCCGGGAAACGCGCCGCCCGCCGCGCCTGGCCTGCGCCGCCGCCGCCGCCGCCGCAGCAGCCCTTCCGAGACCTCGCGGCGGACTGCTGGGCTGGGCTGGGCGACTTGGACCTGCTGGGCGAATTGGCGGCGGACTGCCCCGCGCTCCGCTTCGTGCCCGACGGGGTGCGGGCCGCGGCTGCGCAGGCTACGTTGGCTCTCTGCAGGGCGGCGTTGCGCGCGCCGCGCGGCAGCCAGGCGGAGGGCCTGGGAGCTCTTGCTGCTCCACGAGAGGCTCCTTTAGCGCGGCGCCGGCGGCAGGCGCCAGCCGGGGAACGAGCCCGCCGCGCGGGCTGGGCTCATCCGCCAGCGGTGTTCTCTATCCCACAAGGGGCGCCTGGGGGATTTGCTGGCGGAGGCGCAGCGGGCCGCGCAGAGCCTGACGCGCGCGCGCGCGGAGGGGCCGCCAGGGGGCGCCAGGGCGCCGAGAAGCACATCGCAGACGCGGTGATTCGAAAGGCGCTGGCCGAGGAATGCTCCCCGGCGGCCGCGCTTGTCGCGAGCCCCGGGCTGGCGCCCCTCGCGCCCGAGACAGCGGCGGCCCTGCAGGAGCTGCTCGAGCCGCGCGGCGCGCCTGCCCTCGAGCCCGGGGCCCGCGGCGGACCCGCGGCTGCCTCGCCCCTGTCCCACTTGGAATTGCGACGGGCGCTCCGGAGGAGCCCGAAAGGGAGCGGCGCTGCCGTGGGCGGGGGCCGCGAGCGTTGCTGGCGGAGCCGGCCGCCCTGGGGGCCTCCTGCCAAATTTGCGACCGGCTTGCCGCGGGGGGCCTGCCAGCTGGCGCCGCAGACGCGCTCGCCCTCTCCCGGGTGACGCCGCTCAGCAAGCCGGGCGGTGGCGTGCGACCCATCGCCGCGCCCGACATCCTCCGCCGCTTGGTAGGGGGGGCGCTGGTCACGCCGCGGAAAGAGGACCTCGCGGCCGCGCTTGGCCGACGCCAGTTCGCCATGGGCACGAAGGCCGGCACCGAACTGCTGGCGCGCGCAGTCCGGGCGCCCACGGAGGCCCCAAGCCAGACCTGGTCTTGGTGGCGCTGGACCAGAAGAACGCCTACGGAACAGCGCGCCGCGAATCTTGCTTCGGCGAGCTGGAGGCCGCGGCGCCGGAGCTCCTCCCCTTCACGAACCTGTTTTGCCGGCGCTGATCCCAGTGCTACTTTGGGGCTCGGGCGGGGCCTGCCGCCGCCTGGGCCCCGCGGGCGGCGTTGACCAGGGGGGCCCGCTGGCGC